AAAAAGGAATGTAGAGTAGAAGGCCTCTTGACTCTAAGGAAGGCCTTTCGAAAGGGCTTTTAACTCCTGAAATTATCTACTGGGTAACTACTTATGGATACGTTCCCACTATTTCGCAGTATTATCAATTATCAAAAACAAAACTAAATAATGCTTTTTATTTTGTGTACTATGATTAATTTTTTATTGCAATAAAAAACTAGCAATTCAATAAAGTTAACAAAAATTATTACAAAAAAACAAGGACACATTTCAATCTACATATTCCATCAATCTCAAACAATTCGATTGCCGACAAACACAAACTGCAATAAAAACATATTAAAAAAAGTAATTTCTCAGGAAAGAGAAATCCATTAAAATGTAAATGTGCTTTAGAAGTTCCTTTTTTTTGGTTCATAAGTTTAGTAAAACACTAAGAGTTAAATATGTAAATCGATATTGTTGTAGATATTTACTATGCGTTTATAAGTATGTATTTATATCGGTGATTCGTATGTGTATATATGTATATATCGTTGTCAGTATAAAGAAATCTGAATGCATACACTTTTCTTTCCTCTTCTCAATATTTTACACATTATAACCTGTTATTTAATTGCAGATTTTTAAAATAATTTACTTCGCGCTATAATAGATAATATTATATATTTAATAATAAAATAATTTTAAATGCTTGTTAATTAAACATTTGTTGGCGCATCCATGCCACAAATAATCGATTTGACCACTGCAGCTGCCGCCAGAGATGCAAAATTCTGCCATTTTCGCGTCGACATGCCATCCTTGTAATCGGAAATACCTGCAGCGATAGAAGAGTAGAGAAGCAATATGTATCAGCTATGAAAACAAATTCTACATTCATCACCACCCACCTTTCACTAGTATGAAACTCTCTCTACAATTGCCAATAATGCTGTCCAGCACTGAACTCATTTCCACATCTGTGGCGAGCAATCCATATTTCTTTACGAAATCCATGCGTGAATTATCGCTACGCACCAGATCGCGTCCGGAACCAATGGGTCCAAGATGCAGGCGGGAACGTGGCACACCGTCGACTGTGTCCGTGGCGATCGGGTGTGCAACCTCGATGACTTCGTTGTTGCCGATATTCATGAAGAGTTTATCGGTGTTGACGGAAGGACGATTAAAATCACTCTCAGTTTTTTGCATCAACGATGACAGACCCTCACGCAAATAAGTATCCCAAGGACGCTTCAGCTCCATGTTGGCTTGCAAGCCTTCAGCGATCTGTTGTAGGGAGTCATTGATGGGGAAATATGTTTTCACATCATCGCCACTCTTGTAGACATAAACGTAGGGTTTCTCATTTCTGTGTTGTTAT